GATCACGTAGAGATTTTTGAATCATATGGGGGTGTTGATAGGATTTTAGGGGCTTCTGGCCCTTCTGGGGGTAGCTTGTGGCCACAGGAAAACCTCGCGCTGCTATCCAGTGACTAGCTGAGTGCGGAGGACTATCTTTGAAACACGCAGGCACTCTCCGCCCAACAATAAACACCCCCACCCCCTAATGTTAAACGTGTCCCCCAGTGTATGATTTTTTTCATTGGGGTGGGGCATGCTTCATATCTCAGGGGTGGGAGCCCTCATTCTTTCACCCCTTCCTTCGGACCAGAATTCCAGGCCCTCGGCCTTACAAGCCTTTGACGCGCCAGCCTAAAGTTCTTCACAGCCTCGGCAGCCTGAACTCGCGAAAGCAAACCCTGTTCATGAAATTGATTCGGTCTAGGGTAAAGGGCCTTGGGTTTAGGAATTCAGGGTTCCATCTTGCAACACCATCGTCTTGTCCCCAGTCCCCCCCGGTACAACTTTGGCCCCAACAACCCCACACCCTAAACGCACCCTGACATACATACCTTCAACCCCTAACCTGGAGCGGCTCCCTAGACCTCAAATCCTGCCTTACAACTTCAGGTGGAAAGGATGTGGCAAAGGCTGAGCTGCGAGCGGAGCGAGCAGAGTGGTCCGGGCCCCGCGCCTCGGCTCACAGAACTCACGGAGCTGCATGTTTTTGAGCTTCACTTCCAGCATCAGAGTTTCGGTAGGCTTGGAGGCTATGCTTGGGGTTTTGGTGTTAAGTTGTAGGGCTTACGGTGGGCTTAGGGTTTGGGCTTGGCCGGTCTCATATATCATGCAACGCTCAGAAGCTACGCACGATTCAGGCTATGCATACGAAGAGGCATCAACACTGAAATAGACCTCGATAACCTCTGGCTTGCTGAGAGACACCTCGTTTCAAGTCCCAATATGACGCCTCTCGCAGCATGAAATCTACTGCATCCCTAACCTGCTGTGCCAATAAGAAGCAAATACGTGCCTCTCACCCTCATATGAAGTGAAGATTTCATTGCTCGTGATTGAGTAGGTAATTGGTGGGGCCGTCAGTGAGGTATAACGGATGTAAAACCCTAAACCCTAAACGGAGGCGTAAAGGAACCGACCTGCATGGCTGAGTGCCCTGGCGATGCAGTTGCGCATCCCCACGCAGCCTCCAAGGCGTGAGCACCACAGGATGCCATAAGTTTGTCAAATGTTTTTCTTGGTTTTGGTGTTTAGGGGGTTGATGCTCGGGGTTTAGGCATACAGTACTTTAGGGTGTGTGATGGGTCAATACTTGCGCAGACTCCTACTTACTGCAATCAATAAGCAGATGAAGAGTAGGCCTGGTATCTACTTAACCCCTAAACCTTAAACAAGAAAATATTCACCCCAAACCCTACTAAACCATAGACCCAAACGCTTCACCCTGAACCCCAAAACCTTGAAAACCTAATTTCTGACCAGACCCTCAACCCCAAAGCGGATTCCGGCCTTCACCATGAGGCAGCAAGGATGATGCCGCCGCCACTAGCTCAGATGCTAGCCCGCCTCCCCAGTTCTGAAATAGCAGGTTTCTCAACACTGGATAGGTATACTCCCCGAGGGCCCAATGCCCTTAGCCAGGGAGTCTACCCTACATGACGATTCATGAATATGACTCAAAGTATGTTTCTGGGTTATGACACGCTAACTTTATCGATGACAATGCATATACGCACATCTTGTATGGAGCTCAATGGTACTGTACCCTCATACTCCCTCTTCAGATTTGTCAAGGCCCGCTCCTGAGAAAGCACCAAGTAGCAAGTTTCAGATTTAGGTACTTGGAACGGGGAACCTAAGAGCCAACGGTAAACCCTAGATCCTACACCATATGCCATAGATCCCAAACCGTAAAACCTAACGTGCAACGAACACAAGCAGTGCACTCGCGCAATCTTCCAAAATGCAACCTTCAGAAAGTTTTGGCTTTAGCTTTGAGCTCTGTTGTGCGCAAGCAGCACCCCACTGGAAAGCATGGGCCCCATCTAGGTAGCAACTTACACACATCCATACATGCATGCATGCATGCATCTATCCATGCATACACACACCTACAGACAGACAAACAGACCGACGTGCTAATGTAACAGACAGGCAGGCAGGCAGGCATATATATATATGTATACATACATACATAGACATACATAGACGTGGGTGGACGCATGCGCTGTGCGTGTGCACGTGCTTGGGCGTGGGCACAGACATACATACATACCTAAACGCATACATACGTACGGAAGGAAGGATGGGGCATTGTTGGTTAAACTGGGGCGCTTCCCTGTCTCGGGTCTTTTGGGCAAGAGAAACTGCAGCCCCCTCTCCAAACCTGCACCCAACAATCAGCGCGGTGCCTACAATGTCCCGGGACCGAGCAAAGCCATCTCCTGCAGGCTGCTGCTCGCAACTCAAGAATTTTTGCCAAAGGTTCGGGGGGAAAAGGTTCAGTCCAGGGTTTGAATAGGGGGGTCATGGTCATGCAATGATGGAGAAGCTTGAATCTCGAGGTTGGTGACTGCCAACCCTCCTTCAGGCATGTCTGGTCTTCCTTGCAGGAGTTGTCTTCACAATTCATAGGCTGGAACAGTTTTGCCCTGCCTCGCGAGGAGCTCTCGCCGAACCAGGCGTGCCTCAGAAGGTCGGCAGAGAATCGTGAGAAAGGTTCTTGACAGCGGGGGTCGTTCGAGAGGGGCAGTACCCAGAAAGACGTTGAGAGCCCTGGGGAGTACAAGTAACAGGCCAGATAGTAGGATCCTTGTGAACAAGGATTGCAGGGAGCTGACCCGAGTGTTACAAGCATGCTGTGTCCAGGTCGAGCTGCAAGCACAACAGGAGATCGCATTTGAAAGATCAACATTATCATCAAGGTCTGCTTGGTATCCAGACTGAGCTGATCTCTCAACTTCTTGCCTACACTCTTGTGCGATTCTAAAGAGCTACAGCTGTTGCCAGGCACCGCAACCGCCTGGAATAATCTTGCTTGGTAGCTTCACTTCCGTGCCGACAGTGAAGCCCCGTTGAGAATGTTCCCTGTCCTTCCAGCAATGGTCGCAAATCTGTGTACATACTCCGGATCTCTGGCGCCTAGCGCTGAACGGGTTGCTTGCATTCACAGGAAGCCCGACAGACCTTAAATGAGGAATATACTCGGAATGATACTAGGAACCCTCAACTGATTCAATTCATACTATCACGTAAAGGATATTGGACTCCCTAAGCTTATGACGTCTTCTGCAACTTTTGCAATTGCTGCAGGACACTTTCATGGAGGTCGCAAGGCTGGCCCTGTTATGCCCTGATAAAACCTGTGCTCGTTTTTGGAGGGTACCCTAAAGTTAGCGGCGGTGACATACAGCGGACCCATCAATGTCCACAACCTTCCTTCATTTCATACAGTAGTCGTGCTCTATATCAAGACTATAGTATCCCGATTTTGAACACTCCTTACCTGTGTAAGGAATCTCCGGGTCGCTCGCTTTGAAAGCATCTCTGCGCAGCTTTTGGCACTATGTCTACTGTTCCCAAATGAGGGGAAGAATGTACAGAGCTGTGTTATCGCCAGTCAAGGATTAAAGACACGTATTTCACTAGTTGATCTCCTACATGTTGACTAATTATGCAGGTACACAATCTTGCATCAGCTCGATCCTTAAGCACTGTCCTTTGTGCTTGTCCGTGGCCAGTTGCTTGGAAGCCAAAGCTGCAAGAAGCTGCGATTGAAATCCGACAGAACAAAGAAATCTCAGGGACCAGGACAGCGACTGACACTGAGAAGTGCACAGCAAGATATGGGCGCGCTCCTTTTGTTCGAGTGCTCCTTGAGAGAGACTTCGCTCGCTTCAAGTTCCTACTAGTAGCCTTTGGAGCCAGCAATCTCCAAAAAACCGTCACTGAATAGGAACATGATCCTGAAGCATCAACCTGTTGCCAACATCCACTTCAGCTCAATGTCTCCTGGTGGCACCCTACGGTCGGCCTGAGCCGACGATGTGAAACACATCAAAAATCTCCTGCCAACTCGGATGGACAGAAGTAAGGCAGGCATACCACAGAACCTTGGGTTGATGTCATTGGCGCGCCGAAGATGGGAGTTACGTAAAAGATGAGCTGACCCCTCATGCGCCGCGGCTCACAAACCTACTGCACATCAGGTTCTGAGAGGCAACCTTCAAAAATTGAGAGCGATATGCGATACATGTTGCAAAGGGCAGTCTCGGCACAACCCACCCCGCAGCCCCATCAACGCTTAGGCAAAGCAACATTTTCATACGACTTGGTTAACACTGAGCTAGGTACTGGTGCCAGTCGGCCGGGTGGCTTGTACCGCTTGCGCCGAAAACGCCCAGACAACAAATCATCAAATCAAAGGTCTCTCTGAGACGTTGGGTGCCCTCCGGTGGGGCCCCCGGAGGCGAGTATCTCCCCAACGTGGTCCCCGTTGGCCTCCTCAGGAATCATGTCACTGGTAAGGCAAAAAAGAATTTAGGACTGGCATGCAGGGATGTTTCTTGGGTATTACATGGGGACTGTTACAGCGATCCATTCCTCGGGTCCCTGCTGTCCACCTAGTCATAAGAGGTGAAGCCATGGGGACTCCAAAAATTCAGAATACCTTTTCAGCATCCCAACAGCAAGGATGAAGATCTAGTAAAATATCTTGGGGTGTATACTTGAAATCAGGAAACCCTATCCATGAAAACTCCGACATGAACTCTCGACGCTCTCCTTATTGGTGCTTAAGGGGGAGTGGAAGAGTGTGCCCCTGCGTAATGCCCGTATGTATCTCTGCTATAATCTTCATACTAGACCCCAACTACACCTCAAACCCTAATCTAACCGTAACTAACCTATCATAGTACCCATGTTACTCCTTAACCCCACATGAAACCTTCAACCCTAAACTGCCTTATCATTGACCGTAGATTCACTGCATCAGACTCTTCCGGCCTCCCGCTTCGGGGCGGCTAACGTGCGAAGACCTGAAGCCAGGCCCTAAGAGTTTCTGAACAGGGGGCAGGGCTTGGAAATTAGGGGTTTGAGGGATGTACGGAGTTGAGGAGTTTCTCAAAGTGAGAATTTCCAAAATGAAATGTAGCAAGATGCGGAAATTTGAGGATTCGAGGGTGTCGAGAGTTATATAGATGTGACTTGATCTCCCATTTGAGAACCGGGCACAAGATCTACAAGCTTTGCAGAGATGCATTCCGTTCTCTTTGTGCATCCTCTGCCTGTGGGCCTATGCGAGACAGTGCCTGGTCTTGGCTGAACTTCATGTATAAGTGCTATTCCACGGCTTGTACGGGTCATACAAGTGTGTGTGTGTGTGTATAAATATATATATATATATGTAATTATGGGCCGCAGTCTGTGAAAGTCGCAGCGCAACAAGCATGTGGCAGGAGAATGCGGTGTAAGCTGCTTGTCCACGGGCAGAAATCAGGGATCTGAGCTACCCCCAGTTAAACATGGAAACTGACGTAGCTCCCTTTAGAAGGACAGTAATCTGTATGGGGTCCGTTTTGGGGTTCCGTATTCGTTCATCTGCCGGAGCCCGTGGCAGCTCTGCAAGGCGGTCGCCACAATAGTTAAGGGTTAAGGGCGTCTTCTTTTGTCGCACCTTTTCTCTCAAACGAACTGTTTGGGGGCTTAGGCTGTGCGGCTTCGGGTTTGGATTAAGATTTAGGGCTTAGGCGCTTAGGGCTTAGGATGACTGCAAAGCTTCAGCCCTCGCCCGCGCCTCTTGTTGGTGGTCTTGCTTGCCCAAGCTGGCCTCAGCCATTCTCGAAATGAAAGCATGCCCCTACGGGCGGTCAGTAGTAAACAAAGGAGGTGGTTGTATGGACGAATATAAGGGATTCTAGATGAACTACATTTCTAACAAGCCCCAGCCAGTTCCCCGCATAGGCAAGAATCTCCTGAGGCGACGGACCGGAAAAGCAGAGTTGCCCTTGGCCTCAAGTATCTCTTCCATGAATGAAGAGATTATGGATAGAGCGATAGAAAGGGAAATGTAGGGCTGGTGCTGAAGTGGTTCGTATTTGGGCTTTTGCTGCAAAAATGAGTTTGTGTTCCCTCCTGGGTTGTAACACAAGGAATGCGCTTCAAAAACAAAATGGAAGTTGCATAAACAGGAGCACCTAAACTCTACAAACCTTCTTTTGAACCCCTAAACAAGAACCTCTTTTTTTTTGGTAACCCTAAACCCCAACTCCTTTAATTTCCATAATTATGACCCCTTATACCCCTATATCCCCTATATCCACATGTAACTCTTACAGCCCTACATCCTCTATACCCCATATCCAGCAGACGATCCAGCCAAGGGATTGGCTCCCCAAGCCGGCGGGGCAGGGCCCAACCTGCACCGAAGAAGGATATAGATATGTGAAGGCACTACATACATACATAAATAACTGGGCTGGGATATATGGGACAAAGGAGATATAGGGGTATACAAGGACGATATGTGGATGTAAAAAGGTCCCATGTGTGTACGTGAAAATAGGGTGTGTATACATATATATATACACACATACATACATATGTATATATACACTGTTGAAGATTCCATGGGGAGCTGAGGGCTATATGAGTACAGACCAAGGCAAAGGGTGTCTGTAGGACATATAAGATGTTCATATGGGAACGCAAGAGCTACATGCATAGATATGAACGTGTGTGTGTGTGTACATATGGGAAGTACATCGGCACAGATATGTATATATATATAGATAGATTATATATCTATGTCCAATACATGGGGGGGAACGTTTTGAAGGTCCAAAAAAACTCTTTTGCGAAAGTCTATAATTATGACGAGGACTGTCGTATGTTCGGGTCCAGTCTGCTTTTGGGCCCCTGTATCTTTCCTTTCTGGGAACACCCACATGTTGTGCATGCCTTGCACTGCAGGATGCAACAATTACCCCCGCCTAGGACGGCTCTCCACGTCAGGCTGGGTTGCAAAAGTTCCGAAGGCGCCAGTGCCGAATCGCGGCATCTGCATCTTCGGCTGAAGCTCGCTTGCTTCGAAGCCTCCCCGGAACGGGTAGGCGAACGGGCCAGGGCCTCAGCATGTCGTCAGGAGACATGGGGATTTCTCAAAATGTGCATTTAGGAATAGGCCACTTGTAGGGATGACCTCAAATGGAAGCCCTCAAACTCACCCTTAAGTGCTAACCCTACCCCATTCGGCCTGCAGGAGGTGGAAGGTCTCTTTCAAATCTCTGGATGTCATCTCTGTATTCTCTGTTTGATGAACCTGCCAGCCACAAATGCAGATCTCTCAGGTACAGGGGGCCCTTGGGGACCTAGGAATAATAATGGAAAATAAAATGGAAACTACTATAGTATATAGGGGCTCTATAGGGATAATGGAAAAGAAAATGGAAACTACTATAGTACAAGGGGTTCTATAGGGATAATGGAAAAGAAAATGGAAACTGCTATTTAGGCTAGCTATGTTGGGGTTATGTCGGAACTATGTGGGTCCCACCAAAGAATGATTTTGGGAGACTCTAAAACCTCCCTGCAAATGAGTCAAACGCCGGAAGGAAAACCTTCTGAGGAGTCCCAATCAAGCATTCTGTGGGGAATACTGTGGACCCTAAGTGCCTGGTACCCTGGAAAAAATGGGTATTCTGACACGCTATGTAACACTACATACCCTTTTTATCCCTTATAAACCACTGCATTGGGCCCCAGAGGCGTTAAATCTCTAAAGCCAGCCTGGACCAGAAGGATCTGGGAATGGAGGCGGAAGATTCAAGGCACGTGCCACCTGGCAAAATGCTTGAGCTACAGGGTTAAGGGTTTGGGGCTTGGGATTGACGATATCGGGACCTCCCGTATACCTATGAGTAACGCCTTCAAATCCAAAGTGATGGCTATGCTGGAGAGCACGAAAGCAATAGTCGTCAAGTGGGGGGTTCTCAAAAACTTCGGCCCAAAGGTCGAATGCGGTACTGGTGCTTAAGTCATCCTTGCTTAGCCCACTATGATATCGTGTGACCGTCTCTCATAGTCACTAGGTTCACCCCAGCCCTAAGCTTCTCTCTGAATGAGCTTACATACTGAAATAGGGATACATATATATGGAATGTATGTAGCGATAGTTGTGGAGATCCACGCTCCCACTCCTCCTGAAGCCCTGAGCCCTAATCACGGTGGCCTGTGGTCCTTCAACTTGGTCGATTCCAATAGGCCTGAGCCCAGCTTCCATTTTCGCAGGCTTTAGGCGTATGGGGTTAAAGTTTAGGCATTTCAGGTTTGGGGTTTAGGGTTGAGGGTTTCTCGGACTCGGCTTCAGGTCCATCCTGAAGCTCTCCCAGAGTCTTGGGCCCCGGACCGTTTGGGAGGAGGAGCCTCGGCCGCCAGTCCACACAATGTCTGGGCATGTCCCCTCATATTCCCCCAAAAGAAGTTAGTTCTTATGTTTTAAAACCCAAACAAAGGATCCTAGGTGTTGTTGGAGACTCCAACGTCAGGTATTCTAGTGAAGCGCCCCTTGAAGGTTCACAGGCACTTATCAATCGGCCATCATCAAGAAAGCAACAATTCAACATGAGTTGTTTTGAGGTAGTCATTAAGTGGTACCTTGAGTCAGGGTATATCTATAGTCTATAGTCATACTCATGATGCCCCTCTGAAAGGTGAACCTTCAACTATAAACCTTCTAGCACGCTATCAGCCTGAGCGCTGCACAACAACTCGGGGAGCCTGCAAGTCCCACCTTGCAGATGAGCCATCTGCATCTCATGGTTTAGGATGTGATGTTTGAGGGTTTAGGAGTTTGGATTTGGGGATTGGGGACCTTAAGGGACTTCAGGGGTCTGTGGGGGGTAGAAAGCGAGTGTGGGAGGTCCCAAGTTGGAATGACAAGGCTTTCATGCCTTTGCGATTTGGGGGGATCGTTGTTTGGCGTACCTATAACCAACATTGTTGTTTGTGGGTGCATGCGTTGGGACCCCTCCTGTCAAAACAACCACGTGACTATATACTTCGACACCCATAAAAGCCTCTGCTCCACAGGCTCATCGTCATCCTCCTCGTCATCAGATTCGCCTCAGACATTTCCGCAGTGCAAAAGGGGCAGCCTCACCAAGAGCGGGATCCTCCGGAACCTTATGTAGAAAGTAGCTAAGGATGACAGGGGTCCACTTGAACCTTTCAACCCTAAACTCCATGTATCGTCATCGCAGACAAACGAGTCCGTGTCAAGGGTGATACAGCCAAACTCAGGCACGCAGAATAGAGAACACTGCACAAGAACTAGTAGCAAGCAGATAACTTTTGCATCCTCCAAAACATCCCCGATCGGCACACTCAAAGCCTTTGAGCAACTCTCGAGGTTCCCCAAAGGCCGGAGCCATCCAAAAATGCCAAGCCAGCCAAGTCTTCTGCCTGCACACTTTGCTCTTCTTAACGTCATTGTCATAGCTTCTCCAAGAGGTGTTATATCGCGGATTCAATTTACTCACTCGTTTTGCTTGCGTGTGCGTGCTTCATAAATGTAAGATGCACAGATGAGAGCAGATAACTCCATGAAGAGAGCGCAAGGATGATGAAATGATGAACTAAGCCCAAGAAAAGTAAGACAAAAAAAACACCTACAAGGTCACGAGGTCTACTTTTTGCAGGGTAGTGGGTTTTAAAAAAAGGGTTCTGGGGTTCCAGGGAGTCATATGGCCAGGCGGGTGACATACCCGGAGTTGTTGTCACGACGAAGGGTCTTCTGGGGACAAAACGGTTCAGAGACTTGAATTTTGGAGTAAAAAGATTACCCGACGCTGGCTTTGCCTGAATGATGCAAAAAGCTTGCCCAATGCTGATAATATCTCTGAAAATATGTTGACGATTGCAGCAAGCATTTACTTCTATACAAGTTGCGTTACTCCCCATGCTTCAACGCACCCCGCTCCCTCTGGTCACCTACTCGTCGTCAAGGTACTATAATTTGTATGATACTGAATCCTGAAGTTATTTGCTAAGAGCGGGGGTTAGGGTCCCCAAAAATCGGGAAAAGACAAGCCCCATCGCCAGCAACCGACAGAGATTGTTGCAGGCGCCTTGAAATAGCCCTCCTCCACAGCGAAACAGCTGAAAGGAATGTAGGGGTTTCCAGCATAGGTGCCTCTCCTTTCTGGGGTCTGTCTGGAGTATAGAATATTGGGGTATACACCTGCGTTGAGAAAGACCCATACATGCAGGCCAAGGCCACATCAAACGCATCTTTATGAGACAGCCCCCCCGCTCCTCAACTGTACCGAAGGACCTCAGTTTCGAGAAAGCACCGCCAAGTACAAGCAAAAGATAGCAAAGACCACATGGCTCAGTATGTGCTCCAAGTACTCCAGAGGCGCAACGACAGCCATCAATGAAGAAAATTCCAAGGGGCCCAATAGGCTTCAACTAGGGACTACTACCCGGTGTGATAAAAGGAGCCTTTACGTAATTTAGGTGTCTTCCTTCACTAAGGGCTATCGGTCCCCCAAGTTCTTGAGAGAAACTGCAGGCACTTGCAGAACCTGAGTCACGCATGTATTTCACAGACCATCATCCTTATCTAGAACTGCCCCTCAAACTAACCAGGTAAGATCCGAAAAAAACCCTGCTGTGACATTTCCGAGCGCCCGGCTCCGGCGGCACCTTCTCAGGCGTCGTAGACGCTGTCGACGCGGAGGATGGTGCTGGCTTGGCCTTCCCGGTTCACTCTGCTTCGCCGATGCATGGAGCAAGCTTCAAAGCTTTCGGCTTTTTGGACTTTGGTTACGCTCTTTGCATTCTGGGGTAGGGTACATGGACGTCACAGTCCTGAGAAAAAAACTGCTCACAAGACTCATTGAATGTCCGGAGGCACTGCCAAGGAAACTCTGCAGGAGGGTGGCTGAAACTAAAGCGAATGCGAGCACAATGCCTTTTGCACTGCGAAGTGGAGCCACTAACAAAACTTGCAAACGGTGCAGGCCTGTATTGAGTCTGCATCGAGCTTGGCATCGAACTTTTTAAGCAAGGTCACAAGGTAAGCCGGCCAGTTCTTCACATCCTGGCAGGAATCTCACGACTGCTTCTCGAGATGCCCTCCATACAATCCTGGATAAGGACCCCACCATTGGCAGGTATCCCTGGGTTCTTTCAGATTACCACAATTTACCAAACCCTCAACCCCAAACCCTAAACCTGATAGTCCTGGCGGCTCTTGTTCATGGTGCTTTGGTGGACCATTTGCAGAGCCGCTTTGAGTCTAGACCTGGCCAAACGCGAAATTATGGTCATGTACAGTCGCTATCGGGATATATGGCGTTTCAGGTTTTGGAGACTCTTGAGGGAACTTCGCGACGTGCATGGCTGGCTGACCCTGACTAGACAGACGTCTGGGAGGATCTACAATGAGATACTGGAAAAATCACAAGGGATCCAATGTTTTAAAGCTTTTTGTAAGGGGCTGTGACTGTTTTGGAAAACCCCTGAAAGGGCCCCTGTTTTGAAGCCCCTTGCCAACTTTGGAGCTGGCCTCCCGCCAGAGCCGTGGAGGGCATGCAAGTGCCTTGGGATATGGGCTTGCGACTTGAGGCGCGCGGGATTTGGGTTTAGGGTTTAAGGCTCAGGATTTGGGGCTCTAGGATTGCCAACAGCCACACCAAGCTCTTGGAAGTTGCGTTGGCTACTGAAAGTCAACTGAGCCCACAACTGGCGCACCCGGGCATCGAAGAACTGGTGCTGTAGCCTTCAAGATCCACCAGAATACGACGTTGGAAGTGTAGGCAATATGGGAACTTAGTCGTCTAGGGGGCATTCTGGGGTCTCAGAAGTGCAGGTATACTTCTTTGGTATATGGCAGAAATCAGGCGCACGCGGATGCTAGGATTGGGGGATCATACTAATTAGGGGCCTATTGTTCACACCTTCGACAGAGGCTTGAAGATCCACAATTCCACAGCTGCCTGGTGGCTACTAAGCAGGAGGAATAATTTTCAGCAGTGATTCTATGACCCCCTATAGCAGTCCTAAAATCCAGTGCCTTGATTCCCAACTGACCACCCTAAAGTCAAAAAAAGAAAACCCATGGAAGAGTAGCTTCTGCTTTCTTCCATTTCCTTAGTCCCCAAGACCCTAAGTAATGTGGTAGCTTCGATTTTCTTCTCCTTTCCTCACACTCCTACTTTCTGTAAAAACCCCTACTATCCACCAGCAAAAACTGGCCAACTGCGAGGCTCGGACGCGGAATTCATACCCAAAATGACCCGGATCTCCTAAACAAAGCAGCACATGGGGAGATAGTCGAAGTGGTAAGGCCTCTAAGGGAGGCGTGGGATCTAATAGGATTTCTGGGGGATTCTAGGGGTTATTTGTTCAAGACTATGTCGCTTTTTTGAAATTTCATGGTATTTCGTGATGGTCCACAGCATGAAGGTCCTCGAAAACCTCGTCTTTTGCCCGCGGGGCTGCTGGTACTTCGCTGGACTCCTCCTGGCACATGGTAACATGTCAAAGGGGGTCTGTCCCAGAGGGGCCGGAGACCAAAGAGAAGTAGGGATATGTGGGGATTGTAAGAGAGCGTATGGGTCCCCATTAATAGCTGATGTTGTGGATATTCCAAAAAACCAATGTAGGAATTGGGGAGAATCTGTATGGTAGTCCCTATGTAGGAAACTCCATCAACCAAAGGTCCCCATAGCTATAACCCATAGCTATAACCCATAGTCTTTGAGTTTCTAACCACCTGAATTACACAATGGCCCCCCCCTCTTCCTTCCACTCCATCACTGCTTAACCAAGAAGCTGGGTACTGCGCCACTCCCGTCCCCAATGTTGAACAAACCTCTAAGCAGAAGGCAAGTACTACGTGGGTATAGGCTATAAGCCAAACCTAAAGCCACCCAAACCAAGGGCTTAGGGTTTAGGGTTTAGGGTTTAGGTAGGGTACTGCCCCCACTCAGCAACACTCTATATTAGGGGCCCTATTAAGGGCTATATATAGCCATATTATAAATATTCTCCAACTGTTACTGAGGGGGGGCAGTACCCAAGGTTTAGGGTTTAGCCAAACCCTAAACCTAAAGCCCTAAAGCCCTAGAGAAACTGCGCATGACAAAAAAAACGTCCCAGCGTCCATGCACTACAATGGTTCTGTGGGATCCTTGTCAAGTAGACTATCTGGGGACTGCTACAGGGTCGAGGCAGTGTCCAAGGCCCAATACGCTGAAATTCAGAAATACCCTACATGATGCTGAGAATCTGCAGAATCCTGATCTGATTTTAGGTATATTCCTCAATCAAGGGGTCGTGGGCTCTCTGGGTAAGGAAACAGCCTACACCCTGAAGCCCAATCCCAAAAAGTATGGTAGCTTTTTTCTTGTCCATGCTTTGATTCTCTACCGGCCACCCAAACTTTCCAGTAAACGGTAAACCCTGAAAACTGTGTAGGAATTCTAATGTTCTTTACATCCCTCCCTCACCACTCAACTTGACAGCATGGAAACCCAAAAATGCCCCTCAAAGACCACTGCTTCAGAAGGGGTGGCGCAGCTTCCATGTGTGTTACGGTAAAATTCACATCCACGTAAATGAAGTCCCCGTAATCTCTTCAACGTCCCACGACCTCCCTAGGGTCCTGAAGATACTCTCAATGGAAAAACCCAACCAAGAAGGCAATAGCTAGGCAAAGTGCCCCTGGCCGGCACACGCCTTGTCCTTCTCAGGCCGCTCGGGCTTCTCAATTTTCTCCTTCTCTTGCCTTCCATCGATGGGGTCTCTACCGCGATAAAAACGCACACAGTGTCTGCTTGGGTATATAATTTACCCGTCAGGGTATAGAGTTTCTGGGTTCTAGGGCTTCATCTCCTCCCCCTCGATAAAACCCGCCTGACTTCCTGCACATCTTTGGACACGCTCGGCGACTTCCAGCCCTGGCACATCTAGGCACGACGACACTCAAAGACCTTACTCATGGGATGGCACTCAGTAGCTTACTCATGCATAGCTGAGCTGGAAATGGCGAAATGCGCTATCGGTAGCCATGGACCTCCAAGCATTCCCAACTCAAAAAGGGATTACAACTGCTGTTGCGCCTTGCCACGGCCGCGCCCCCGGCCCTTCACCTGCACATCACCCGGTCTAGGGCCTAGGGTTTCATGTTGGGATATCCATAAATGGGGTTCCTCCAATACACTCCAATGTACTTCCAAAAATCCAAGCCAGGAACCCTTCTTCTTGGAGCCTGGAACCCATACACCGTATGTATACCAGAGAGGCCTTTCATATATACCCATGTAAACCATTATGCACAAACATGTAGGCACGTGCCTATCTATCTGAATAAAGAATACATGCACACATATAATGTGATATATCTATGCCGTGTGTATATCATTTTATATAAACATATATGTAACACATAAACTTTGTTCTTTGTATACGTATACATATACAGAAACAAACAAACAAACAAACAAACAAACATACATGCATGCATGCATGCATGCATACATACATACATGATATATGTATACATAGATATATATATATATGTATATATAAGCTCATCTAAACCCCAACCCCCACCCGCCTCCCCCTTGAAGCCGAAGCCGAAGGGGCCGAAGCCCGGCCCGCCATACCAGGGTCCCCAGCCGCGGCCTGTGGAACAAGATTTTGTGGTGTGCGTGGTTGCGTCGTCAGTTTTGAGGAAGTTTGGGGATTTGGGCAGTTGAGGGTAAGCAGGGACACCAAGGGGTACAAGTTCGGGAAACATACTTCTGAGGGACTCGACCCTAGCGCTTGCGTTGCAGCTGGGCTTGGGCCCCCGGCCGCACGCCATGGGAAAACTGTCCAAAACTGATCTGAACAAACACCACGAGAAAACAAATACTCTGAACTTCTTGCTGCACTTGGACTTAGATTCTGCTCCATGTCGCATGGACCTTTTGAGCAAATAAGTCTGCATCGAGAAAGAACAAAAAGAGATGCACGGTGCTAGCGCCATCCCCCGCCGTGCACATGAGTGAAAACACGTATTCAAGCTCAGGCGTTGACAGTGGCCTGTAGCAAGTAACGTGTGCATGTTATGATGAAATTTACGAAATCTGCTTAGTCGGGATGCAAAATCCACGGAAATTCAACGATGCCAAAAGCTGCGAAACATGTTCTGGCGAACTACGCGTCATGGCAATCTATTCTGTTGAATCTTCAACATGCATTTTTGCAATAGCCAATCTGTTCCAAGCTTCCAACAAATAGGTGGCACAGAAAAACTTTAGGTAAATCCTGATCCGCCCAACAGCAGACAAACTCGATAAAAAAAAGGGTACATTCATCAATTTCGGCTTCCGCATCCCAAATTGCCAGAACAACACAACACCCATTGACAAGAATGTTGAATTACATCAACTATGCAGGCGGCATGTGGAACAGACCAAGTGGACACAATCCGCAAGCTCACAACTGTCACAATTCACTGGCATCGACTTCAGAAGAAGGCTCTTGACATGTGGAAGTTGCGTCGGTGGACAGTCTCGGTACGACATCTCCGACATGCAAGCACATCAAACAAATCTCACGTCAAAGATACCAATCATTGATGGCCAAAAATACACGATGTCTTAAAACGTGAGGAAATAGGAATCCTACACCAACATTCAAAAGTTGGGCTGAAGCAGCTATCCTGTTCGGAGCCTGAATCTGGCTGTGGGACCTGATGGTGTTATGTGACCATCTCAAGTTCTAGAAGAATGTGGGTTTCCTCACACCCCCAAGATGACCTTGATATTGGGGGCTGGGGTAACGAGAATCCTCTGATTGCCATTGGCAGGTGGAGAAAAAATCGTGTCATGGTTTTTGCTCCTTGTCGCGAACACCGCAATTCATTCGCTCTTCTTGTGAAAGTTACATCGGCAACAACCTTCATTGAGATCACAAAGGAACAAAGATGGCCCAACACACATGTCAACGGCTAAGCGTACCCTTTCTGGGTTGGGAACAGGAGGCTACATCAGGATCCCGAATATATGTTTAATTTGCTTTACAACGCCTGTAACCCATTGCCACATTCATTCCTCACTGAACATGAACCAGGAAACCTTGCAATGGTGAAGGCAACAATGTCACTTCGCACCCAGCTAACGTCGGTGGATGGAGAATGTCTTGCAGTGGCCCCAAAGAATATCCCGCCGAAAAAACGCGCCGCATGCGGGTTCCTAAATGATGCGAATTTCCTCCATCTACCAACTGTTTCGATAAGCTTGCATGAAAATATCGATGCAACCTTCTTCCAAATTAAAATTGCGGCAATGACCCATGACGGAATAGAGCACCATTTAATCGATGTCTCACGTGAATTGCGTTCATCTTCGTGACTAGTCGAGGCTCGCATTCATTGCAGAAATGCGTGTTTCCGCAACATTTTTCCGGGTGTTTGCAAAGATTCCGAGGCCGAAACGGGAAAGATGAGAGCGAATACGGCCACTGCGCCAGCAATGATTGAAACAGAAGCAACAAAGATGAAGGCTGGCGTCTGGGCAAAAACTTGAGAGCTTTTTAGGCTCAGGTCAGAGGGCTTGGGATTTAAGATTAAAACGTTGCGGTAAAAAGTTTAGGGATTGTACAGCTGCCATGCACCAGACACGTAAGCGGCATATGTTTTCCAAACAGCCTTGGTTCGCGCGCCAGCGCAATCTCGAGGCGTTGCAAGCACATCGGATCTTCTGTCTATATACTGCTAAAACCTTTAACGTCCCTTTAGTATCCCGGGTCAAAGGCAGTGCGGTCCACGAGATTATTCAACACCTCTTGAAGACTAGCAACCACGCGACAAGTTTGCACTATTTTTGCCTGAGACTCGAGGCGCCTGAGGTCATGAAAAACATCAAAACTAGGCAAAATGCCTACCTGTCACTACTACCTACCACTCGCAGCCTGAAAACAGCACTCAATCTCACACCTGTCTTCTCGACGTGTAGGCGGGGTGACAACGGTATCAGCTACTAGCTGTACGCGGATTCCAGGTGGCTCTTACTGTCCGCGCGTGATAGCCGGAGAAAGACATACATACAACTTTTTAGCAGAGAGGGTTTGCCTAGCACCGGTGCCATCACGGTTCAGGTCAAAAGTGCGTGAAAGACAGTGTTTTCTCTCAAGGTTCTCGCACTATGACGGTGCTCAACTCTGGCGCTGCGTTGATTAGCAGCTGCTTGAGAGACTTGGTCAGAGCATCCGCCACTTGCAAGTGTGTGGGAATCCACCGCAGCTCATCCCCGTTCGGGGAATATGCCAGGCATGTGCGCTCATCATCTTCAGTCCATAGCGCGTGCCGCAGGGCAGCCATCACTGTCAAGGAGCCGCAATCACTGTATTGCAAGTGAAAGAGGGTCCGACGGCTAAACTCGCCCCAGTCCTCTAGGCGTGGCAATCAACCAAAAAGTTCGAGGAGCTCAGCGCGAATGCGATCACCATGCTGTGGCACTGGGGCATAGCTCGATGGGTTCTTTTAACAGTAAAGGAACCAAAGGAGATGATGCGCGCCGCAGCTACAAAAGAGGCATTGCTAAAGGTACCACAGCAAAATCCCAGTTCGCCAATCAAGGAGGCCTGCCCTGCCTTAAAAAGGATCGCTCTAACACCGTCCTTTAACTTTAACGCGAGCTCTGTGACCCCATTAGCTTCCCGAGGGTTTGGACCGTAGCCTTGCAAATCTAGGTTTGAAGTTTGAACAGCATTGACCCGGTAAAAATCAGGCCTGGCAGCTCGGGCTACCCAAGCCAGAATTCCCACGACGGAGCGCAAAGCTCTGCGTTGCGTGTTTGTCACAGGCCTGGTGGCCTTGAGCAGCTTTATAGCCCATGCGTTGTCCCTGGAAGTAGTTTCGATAGAGAAATCGCCTTGCTGGACGTACTCCCGTCCCTCGGTAGCGGTCCAGATGAGGTCGGCAACACGCGCACACATCATCACACCTTTGCGCGACGGGTTGCCATCATGGCTGCGGGCGAAGTACCGGGCTGAAATTATACCTGGGACCTGTTAAGTTAAGACCAGCGATCTTAGTGGTATCTACGAGATGTAAGTAGAGATTCCGACCTGCGTCAGAAGTCCCGTACACCGGTAATCTGGCAATCATAAAGCCTGACGCGTTGTGATTTCCTGGTCCAGCACACCCTTCGGGCGACAAGGCTCAAAAGCAAGATGATAAGGCGCCCTAACGGTCCACCTTGAAAATACGCGCTAGGTAGCTAACCCGTGAGCATAGACGGGCTACACCTTCAGGCTCGCACGTCCTCGCCATCTGCAAGGAAAAAGCGCCTTGTATAGCGGGGAACATAATCTGGGGAGTCTAACAGGCGCTCGTTCTTGTCCGTGAGCACCCATTTGGTGGGAACACACAAGTGACCTGACGGATCAGCTACCTCTTACTCTGTACCAAAGGTCTCATAGCGCTATGAAGTCTTCGACTTATATAGCCCGCACAACAAGGAACTTTTGCACGCGCTCTTTCGCGCCGCATAATATGTCGAATCTCATCAGTACTTAGTTCAGCAGTTGTTCCACCAAGCAAGAGTGAGACTTTGCCAGCACTCACGGTACCTGGCCCAGCGCATATGGAAGCGGGCGCGAAGTAGCTCACTTGAACAATTCCGTGGACACTGCAGTTTCATCAAGATCCTGCACAATCATTCAGGTATACACAAGTCTCAATGCGAAACTCACAACTTTGAAGCGACCCACGCATTGCAAGTGCTGAGGATTCAGAGAAGGTCTGAGGGAGTCTCACGAATATCATCCTACATCCCCATCAGAAGGCACTGTACAAAAATTGGCTCCGCTCAAGGTTCATCATGGCCTTCTAAAGGCTGTAATGTGACTCAGGTGGAGATCATCATGCGCCAGTTCAAGCGCAGGGTACGCCACAGAGCAGAAGTGCGGACAGACACAGAAGGCTAGGCGCGGCTAGGCAACTGCTGAGACATGACACACGCTTGCAGCAAAGCCAACCAGAGCTAGAACAAGGAATGCGCGGCAAGAGTTAGCTGACTCCTCCCCACGAGAGGGTTCATGATGAAGTTAACCAAGGAAGTACGCGGGACATCTGGACATAACACACCGTCACGCAACAAGATGTGAGCAACATCATCACTGCCTCCAGCAGGTAGTCCAGCTAGGCAAGAGTAGAGGAATGGATTCAACAAGGATTCAAATGAGAACGTAGAATTATCATCAAGCGCACCCAAGCTAGATAGAAGGGAGAAAGAGATCCACAGTCGTGCTGAGCGAGCAGGTAACAGACTGCCGCAAGCGAGGTTGAGGCCACGACGGTCCGGGGCGCTGCCACGCCTGAATGACCAACAGGACACAGAACAAGTGAGAAGCACCAGCGACATGCGTTGAGTCATGCATTCAGGTCCGCACGGGCGGAAAACAAATTACGGCGCAATTCGATCAAACTGCACAGAGATGCACTTTTATGGGCTGGCTTCTTTGCAGGCGATGAAGTTGGCGGCGGTCGCTCACAGACGTCTTGGTGAGCCTGCTGGACTGGACGCGTTCACAAGGAAGTACTGCGTGGTACCCCTTGTGCTTTTCCCACGCAGTATTCGTGGCTTCTTCCCGGCCAAGACGTACATCAGCACTCATGTAATGGTAATCTATGA